GTTTGCGTGGTGGTGACGACCGTGATGGGGGGGGGGTCCCTTCGAGCGTGGTGACGCGGTCGCATAAGGATGACACGTTGGTCTTTATGTCGTCGAGAGAGGAGGTGACGGAGTTGAGTGCGTGGAGGATGGCAGAGAGGTCGGGGGTGGCGGTGTTTGCTGGTGGTTGTTCGCCGGCGAGGTTGCGGGCGATGCTATCGACTGAGTCGGTGCGGATGTCAGACATGTTGATGGAGGATGCGGCCATGTCGGGGGGAAGAGGGGGTCGAGGACGTGGCCTGAACGGGGGTGGAAGATGCAGCAGCAGTGGTGGCGGCGGCGGCAGCACGTTGGGAGTTCTTGGTTTGGCGTGGTGGCATGTGGAGGGTGGAGAGGAATCCCTTTTTTTTTTTTTTTTTAATCAATAAATTCAAAAATAAAGATAATCGCCAATTTTTTTCGCAAAAATAAAAATAAATAAATAAATAAATAAAATAAACGCTGAACAGAAAGAGATGATTAATTTCAAAAAAATAAATTATGATTTGGATTTAAATTTATTTACAAGAAAATGTGAAATTTCGAAAGAAAATATTTTCGAATTACGGAGAAAAAGAATTAATTAGAATTATTTTTGAATTTTCAAAAGAAATATCGAAAAAGAATTAATAAGTACGTAGTCAAATGTTGATTTATTTGTTTACCAAAAATATTTTAAATTCAAATTTCGAAAAATAATTAATTTTCGTTAATTAATTAATTTCGGAATTTAAATTTTAAAAGAATTGTGGGTATGTAGAATATTTCAAAATTAAAATTCCCTATTTGGATTCTTGAAAAAGGAATAGAATTCAAGATTTTCGAAAATTGGCAAAAATGGAAATTTTAGGATTTTTTTTATTTTTTTTTTGTCTATTTCAAGATTTTATTCGAATACGAAACTATTTCGAAGAATGATTGGAAATTGTAGGAAAGAAATAAAATTTCGAAGTTCAAAAATTTAAAAAGGAATAAATAATAATAAGAATTTCAAAAAGTAATTTCTGATTAATTCCACGGTGCAAAAGGTCTTAAGGAAATTTCGGATTTCGAAAGTGATTTCGAATTGAAAATTTCGAGAAGGGATTAGCTACAATTTAAGTTGAARTTCCAAAAATAAAATAGATAATTAAAATAAAAATTCAAAATATATTTAGTGGAACAAATTTTCGAATTCAAAATTTAGAGGAAAGATTTGGGAAAGGAAAAGCTATCAATATTCAGAATGTCAAGGGAACAAAGATCGCGAGAATGGGAGGTAATCTAACTAATTGACTAATTCGTACGGATTGATTGCCCTTGTGTAGGGGGGTGCAGTGCGCAGCGGAGTGTAGGGTGCGCGGTGGGGTGAAGTGTGCAGTGGGAACGCGGGGGGGGTTGATGACTATCGGG